TTTTTTTTTTTTAACATATAATGTATTATTTGTTTCAGAGGTACAGGTCTGTGATTCAATAGTCTTATACAATTCACAGCGCTCACCATAGCACATACCCTCCCCAGTGTCTATCACCCAGTCACCCCATCCCTCCCACCTCCCACCACTCCAGCAACCCTCAGTTTGTTTCCTCAAACAAATTAAGAATTAATTAAGAATTTTTTAATTCTTTTTTAATTCTTTAATTTCTTAATTAAGAATTAAGAATTCCTCCTATCAGTGAGGTCATATGATACATGTCTTTCTCTGACTGACTTATTTTGCTCAGCATAATACCCTCCAGTTCCATCTACGTCATTGCAAATGGCAAGATTCCATTCCTTTTGATGGCTGCATAATATTCCATTGTATATATATACCACATCTTCTTTATCCATTCATCTGTCGATGGACATCTTGGCTCTTTTCACAGTTTGGCTATTGTGGGAATGTCCCTTCCTTTTGCCCTTCCCTTTCTTTCCTACTCTTCTTTCCAATTTGACTCTCTGCTTGGTCTCTCCTCACTCCAAATCCAGAAGCATGGATGAGAGATTATTCCTGTTTGTAGCTGGTTATAGGTAGGGTGACCATATGTCCCATTTTGCCTAGGACAATTCTGAGTGGGCTTGTCCTGGAGTAATTATTAGTAACACACCTCTTTTATGCTCAGAAATGTTCCAGTTCAAACAATCATACAGTCATACTACTTACAGAAAGTCCTGATTTTGTTTTTGCATCTCAGATCTTCAGAGTACATAAAAATATCTAAATAGTACCTATAACACTTTTGTTAAAAAGAGACCCAACGGGGAACAACAAAGGTCTAAAGAAATTTTAATTAGAAAGAAATATATAGGGGTGTCTGCCTTTGGTTCAGGTCATGATCACAGGGTTCCTGGATCGAGCCCCATGTAGGGCCCCCTGCTTAGCAAGGAGTCTGATTCTCCTTCTCCTTCTGCCTCTCCCCTGGCTCATTCTCTCCCTCTCTCTCAAATAAATAAATAAAATCTTTAAAAAAAAAAGGAAAGAAATATATAAGTGGCTCAATTTAGTTGGAACCACTCAGATCGAAAATGTGCTTATTACTGATAGGCCATTAAGTCCTTTAACACTGAAGTTCTTGCAAAAAGGGGGCAGGGGATGTGGGAGAAATCAGTCTTTACCAGTATCCCTAGCAGAAAGTATGAAAATACGACCTTTTTTGGCAGCAACCCTAATAACTTTCAGTAGGGAGCTTGTTAAGTAAATTATGGCAGGATCCACACATTTAAACTGTATTAGAAATCAACAAAATGAGAAATAAAAACCCAATAAAATGAGATAAACAATATGGATAGGTTTTCAAAAAAATTTTAAGTGCAAATAAGTTATAAAACATTGTGTAATAGGAGTCTATTTTTAAAAATAAAGCTATATTTGCATAGAAAAAAACCTTGACAGAATAGGGAATACACTATTAACAGCAGTTAACTCCTGGAGGCAGGAGTCCCAGGGCCTGAAGCAATAACAAAAATGTATTTCTAAAATATGACTTAGCTTCAAAATTAGTCTATCCTTGCCTTAGGTAAAAAAAAAATCATGCATACTGGGGATTAGAAAAGTATGAGGAGGAAATGAAGAATTATTAATCCTAACTAAAAGACACAATGTCTTACATGTTGGAAACTAACCATAGCATCATAAAAATGGGATGGAGGGTGGGGTGCCTAGGTGGCTCAGTCAATTCAGCATCCACTCTTGATTTTGGCTCAGGTCATGATCTCCTGGGTCATGAGATCTAGCCCTGCACTGGGCTCTGCACTCAGCAGGGAGTCTTCTTGAGATCCTCTCTCTCTGCCCGCCACCCCAACGGCATGTACACATACTCTCTAAAATAAATAAATAAGTCTTTTTAAAAAAATGGGATGGAGGGAGCAGAAGAGTTATCTATGGAATTGGTGTCAAAACCACGCTATCTCAAAGATACGGGTAGTCCCAAACAGTCACAGAAAATACAGAGAATTTAAAATGGCAGAAACATGAGATGCTGATTATGGTTACTTAGGTTGAAGCCTACCCACAAATTCTCAGTCCTTGGAGAATAGTACTTTGAAAGATGTAATCTGTAAGTTATTTTCAAGGATTGAAAATAATAATTGAAAAGGAAAGAATTTATTCCATTATTGAATAAATACATTTCCAATACTGGATTATTCATCCCAGTAATCTAACTCACACATTCACAGGAAAGACTGTCATAAAAAAAATTAAAGTCTTCCAAAAATTTCTGTATAAAAAAATCTAAGTAACCATTTTCTTCCATAAGTAACTTGAAAAAATGGATTACTTTGATGTGAGAAACTAAAATAGAAAAAGAGAACAAAAATGACTTCAGCATGGCTAATTAAGACTCCAGTTAAATAGTTACCAGTGCCCACAGTCAAAAAATTGTCGTAGTAATTCAATAGGAGGTTGAGCTCCATATTTCTCCAATGCAGGCATATTCATGTCATCTATAAAAATTACACACTTCTTTCCCATAGGTGGTCCAAAAACTCCTTTGCGTCTTTTGTCCAATCTAGCCATAATAATATTCTAAAATATAAAGAAGAATAGTAGTATTTAAAGCCATACTTAACACCAGGGGGGGAAAAGAATTTACAGTCTAATTATATAAGGAAATAAAGCCAGGAAGCACTGTGTGTGTGTTTATATTTATTCATTTTTAGGGTGATATCAAACCTTATGTTCAATATCAAAGAGCATTTATTGAAATCCTTCTATGTGCTCAGAATTGTTATATATACATATTTATATATTTATATTGCACATAAACACAAAATATTTTCCTTGTTGGATACCCCAACATATCTATTAACTCTAACTTATTCAATATCTAAAAGCACTAATCTAAATTTATAAGATTTTGAAATAAAAGGAATTCTATAGGCTTAAAACAACAGAAATGAGCCCCATAGGACAGGTGAGAATGGACATAAATTTAGGCATGGATGATTATAATAGTGACTAGAAAAGGTCTCATGCAGAACTTTCAACTTGGCACAAAGAAGGGAATGCACAACTGCATGGTTCCTGTCACGTAAGGTCTTATAATAGTCCATGGCTTGAATGATCATGGACAGAACTTCAGTAAGCAGCAAATGCCCTTAAGGACCACCTAGAAGAGTCTAGAAAGAACAACTGAAAGTTCTCTCTCTCTCTCTCCCCCCAGTCTCTTCTATCAATTGTGGTTTCTTCTTGGGCTTAATAAAAAAAAAGGATGACAAAACTCAATAATTCAGAATTAATGCAAAAATGTTCCCTTGAATGTGATTACAACATTACCATGCTCTTGGAAATTATCAGTTAATTGCGGTGTCTTTTATCCTTTGTTTTTAAATAGGTATGTTTAAAATAATTTATAACCCAGGAATTTAATTAATAAAAATGGGAACATAAATTTTTTTAAATGCTCTCTTGAACTTTTGTCCTTACAACTTTTAAAAAACTTACTTATCCCAAAAACAAAAGTTCTGAAGTTTCATTTAAATTTATAGAAGACTTACACAGCTGCTCATTTAATATACAATTTTAAACACTAATCAAATAAGGCAAAAAAAAGTTAATTATGGACCCATGTTTCTGGCTTTAAACTAACCTGAACCTGGTTGGCACTGGTCCGTGCAGAGAAATTAACATAAAAAGGGAAATACTGGTCCTTTTCCAAGTGATTCATTAGTTTATCCTTCACATACACTGATTTTCCTGTACCCGTCGGACCCACGAAAAGCAGTGGCCTTTATGAAACAATGAACATATCATTAAAAAAGAGAAAAAGTCAGAATACCATTTCTACTACAGAAGGCTGGAATTCGTTGAAAACTTAAGTAATGAAATCACCTTCATCTAAAAATTCACATTTTAATCTACCACTGTTATTTCATGTAAGACTGGTAAAAGTGATGATTGGCACACACTTTTGCTTCCTGTTACTGAGACTTTAATAGTAACAAACTATTATTTGGACAGATGTAACATTGCTATACTCCAAAAACACTCATAAACAAGTAATAAGATGCTTTGCTTTTCGGCAAAGAAAGCTAAAGTTTTTCTCCTCAGAAAAGTGACATATTTGTACTTTTTAGTTGGAGGTACAGTGTGTAAGAGACTAATAAGATGATGACATTAAGACTGGTTTAGGCTGTTTCCTAGTTATTAAAAAACTAGGTGACAGTGAAGTCTAAAGCTAATAGTTATATTATACCTGTTAATAGCATTTTAAAATCTAAAATAGCATTTTAGAATAGCCTTTAGAATCAGTTACTAACTGAAAACATTTGTCCAAAAGCAAACTCTAAGGAATTCTCTATTCAGTGGGGCCTCAAGACAGGGTTTCTCATTCTTGAGTGATCATAATTAATTTAAAATGGAAAAAAAAAATCCTGTGAGTTTATGTTCACAGAACTCTGGGGAATCCCACGTGAGAAATACTGTTTAGAATGAAAAATTAAATACTGACCCTTTGATGGATAACTTGGCACCACCCAATACACAAAGACAAACACAAGGACTGGCGCTAAACCTGAGCACAGTGTTCTAAGAGGTCATCTAAGGGACCCAAATTATGCTAATATTAATTTAAAAAATTATCATTGAAGCATAAACATAAAATTAAAGTTCTTTTAGAACTACAGTGGCCCCTGAAAGTACACCTACATGTTTCAGTCTGAGTAACACTTGCCTTATGGAAAGCTATTTATTAAAAAAAGTTTTTAATAAAATACTGTGCTGAACTTGGGGCCCATGGACAAATGGAAGAAATTTTTAGACAGTGTCCAGAGAATCTGTGAACTTGGATGACAAAAAGGTTATATATTGACTTTTACTATCCTTAACTAAAACGGACCAATTGTATCAATTGTACCTGTGTCTTTGTCACTAATAGAAATCACAGATATTATTCTAAATATTACAATGGTTACAGATGTCTCAAAATTATCACTTATGCCTATTACTTCTTTGAAATTATGATAGGCATCAGACCCACTGCTAGACTGTATTATTTAATGTGTCAGTAAAGCAGCACACGTATTACTACCATAGCTCTAATGTGTTTAATATTTTAATGTGTTTCAATATGTCCTTTCCTTTGTAACTCTGTATTTGATGTATTCATTTAAAAGCATTATTCTAAAACAATTTTAAAAATTGTTTAAAAAGCATTATTCTGGCAAGTGGTTCATGGAACAGAAGGGCTCTTATACTAGGAATTTCCCAGAATTGGCAAGTCCCTTCCTTGCCTTTTTCAATATTAGCCTCGAAATGCAAAAATGTAACAAATAAGCAGTGAGTAATGTATGGAAGCGTTGAATCACTATACCGTACACCTGAAACTAATATAACACTGTATATTAACTACACTGGATTTAAAATTTTTTTAAATGTAACAATAGGGATACAATAATATTCTCATGGGCTATTTTTCCTTTAATTTTTTTTAATAAACAAGATAAAATTGTTGGAAAATTCACTAAGAAACTGGTTCTTTTTTTAAGATTTTTTATTTATTATTTATTTGAGCGAGAGAGCTCAAGCTAGGGGGAGTAGCAGAGGGAGAGGGAGAAGCAGACTCCCTGATGCGGGGCTCAATCCCAGGACCCTGGGATCATGACCTGAGCCGAAGGCAGACACTTAACTGACTGAGCCACCCAGGTGCCCCAAGAAACAGGTTCTTCATCAAAAACAAACCAACCATGACATTCATGCATATAATGTAAGTCTGTCTAGTTTAAATAGTATTAATGATAAATTATGCCTAACGTTTTTAAAAGAAAAACAAGAACATTATTAGAAAAGTTGGTGTGAATATGCCTATAGTACATGTTAGGCTTTTAAGTTTCATGTCCTCTTCTTTGATGTGCTCTTCTGGTCTAAGTCTGAGATTTCCATGTTCATCTTAAGTTATGAAAAACTGACATAGGACAGACTTGAAAAATGCTAAATGGGAGAATGCGGATCATAGTCGATACTCAGGAGCATACTAAACTTTTGAGGTGTAGACTGCATACCTGTTTACCAATAACACTGCAACTGACCTTTAGTCTGCTGTTACTAATACAATAAACATAAGGTAGTTTATGAGGCAACGAAGTATAGCAGCTAATTTTTGGTGTAGGCAATAGAAAACCTGGATTCTAGGTTTGCCACTAGTAACAGAGGCCACTGCTGGCATGTCAGTTAGTCCCTCAGGGTCTGTTATCTGAAAATGGATGACCTCCAAGTTTACTTCAAAAGTCCTATGATCTGGGACACCTGGGTGGCTCAGTGGGTTAAATATATGACTCTTGATTTCAACTCAGGTCATGATCTCAGGTTTGTGAGATCGAGCCCTGCATCAGGCTCCATGCTGCCTTCTTGGGATTCTCTCTCTCCCTCTGACTCTTTCTCCCACTCTCTCCCTCTCTTAAAAAAAAGAAAATCCTACGATCCTATTAGAATGGTCCCATTATATTTAAAATGCATGTTCATAACAGAGTTTCTTACTTTGCAAAGGTAATACTCAAATCCATTAGAAATGTATATCTAATTGTGTCCATTGTAGGGACTATAATATCTTGAATCCTGACACGTTTTTCTCCCAAATTAGTACTTTTAATTAATTCATTCCAATGGAGCCAGCGACCTCGGTTTTTCAACTACAAGAGAACATAAGTTTTAAAATACAACCATGCACTTGGTATCTGAAAGGCCCTTTAACATACTGATATCATATTTGCTTTTAAAAACCTTAGTTTATCATCATAATAAAACCTTCTTAGAGGGTAAGTCATCTAAAATAATGTATATAACATTTTCTAGTCATGAAGTAAATTAATAAGCACCCATGAATCCACCACCCAATTTAAGAAACACACATTTTTCTTTGGATTGATTATCCCTCTGCTTCAGTGCTATGAATACCATCAAAAATTTTTCCTATTTCCTGGCAAATTGTACACATACATGGCATGTGTCTGGATGGTGGTAATTTTGCAAGTTTGGGTGAATGTTTCTTTAGTAATTCATATTCTTAATTTTTTTAAGTTTAAGCTTTCGTTTCTATCAAAGTTATATATGCACATATTTTAGAGTCAAAACTTTTAAAGAGGTTGGGAAAACAGTTTCCCACTCTTGTTTTCTCTTCTCCAGCAGCCACTCTATCTTTACCTCTTTAAGCTGGACATTTTGGGATTCATCTCCAACTCAAAGAATATGCTTGTGTTATCATCTCTTGATTTTTTGGTTTTAGAGATTATTTTATTGACTTCCCACTGTGACTAATGAGGATTAAACTCTCTCTCTGGTCATATTCTTAAAATTCTGTATTAGCCTGGTGTAGGGAAAGATTTCTACTCTGGTAGCCAGGACAGCTGGATTCGGGTCTTGGTTCTGCTAGCCACTTGCCTTTCTAGGCTTGCCTCTTTATCTGTAAATCATGAGATTTAGGGAAAGTTGTACTTAAGGCTCTCTGCAGATCTTATGTCTCTGTGAAATCAAATTTGCGTGAATCCAATGATTATTCAGATGCTTGCTGTTTAAAAGAATCTTTTTGTGAATTTTTTAAAGTGGATAAAATAGATTTAATTTAAATCTGAAACTATAAAATAGTCCTAAAGAAAGTTTATCTACACTATCCACAAGTCAAAGGAGGAGAAACTAAAGAGACGGGACAAAAACGCCAACCACAGGGATTAAAACAACATCAGGATGGGAACCCAGTTCTGCCTGCTGATCCAATACTTGATGTTTTAGAACTTATCATAATTAGTATTTTATATCATACCTCATACATGTAGTCATAGACCAGACCTTTTTCATCAAACTGGCATTCCCATTTACCCACAGATTCAGGCACTGGGTTGTTTTCATCTCTTCCCAGTATGATTGACCGTAGGAAAGTATCAAAAATGATCCGACCATCTGTATCACAACTTCCTCCAATGGACCAAATCAAAGAAAATATAAAGCTAGCCTATTGGTTTAAAAAAAATTAATTTAAACTAATTATTTAAGAGCAATTTTTTAACAAATTAACTAAAATTTAACATATTAAGGAGGCCTGGTCAACATATTTGGAAAAGGCCAGGTCTACAGATAAAGTGGAATAGAGCACAGCTAAGTCACAGAGAACATTATTTCTCTGGCACTATCTATCTAAATTTAAAATGCCCATAGCAGGGCGCCTAAATGGTGCAGTTGGTTAAGCATCTGACTCTTGATCTCAGCTCAGGTCTTGATCTCAGGTTTGTGAGTTCAAGCCCCATATTGGGCTCCATGCTGGGTGTGGAGTCTACTTAAAAAAAAAAAAAAAAAAAGAATAACATGCCCATATCAAATGATCTAGGAATTCCTCTTTTAGGAGTTTGTCCTTAAATATATTAGCACCTGTAAAATGATGTATGCACAAGAATATTTGCTGCAGCACTGTTTCTGCAGCCAAAAATAAGAAGCAACTTTTTTCAATAAGGGTCTGTTTAATGAGATTATGTTATGTATACTGGAATACATGCAGCTGTTTAAAAAAGTAACTCAATAAGTATACAGATCTTGAACAATCTCCAAGATACAATGTGAGAAAAGATGCAAATCAGTATGTATAATATGCTAAAGTGTAAAAATGTATTCATATAAAAGAGAGTATGGATCAAATACCTCTAACAGGCTACCTAAGGCACTGGTAACAGTGGTTTCCTTGCAGGTGGCTAGGGCATTGGTATGGATAGAAAACCTACTTTTGCCTTTTGAATTTTACTCTAGGTACATGCTTATCCAGTTTAAAAAATCTACCAAATTATATATATATATATATATATATATATCCAGAGGAAGGAGTGGATATATATATATATATAATATAATCAAATATGTTTTTCTTTTTTTTTTTAAGTAATCTATATACCCAATGTGGGGCGTGAATTCATGACCCTGAGACCAAGAGTCACATGCTCTACTGACTGAGCCAGCCTGGAGCCCCTCAAATATACTTTAAGAGAAAATTTTTAACCAGGTATCAATTTATATTAATCTTTAAAAGTAATTCTGAACCATTTAAAAAATTGAGGGAGTTAGGCTTACCAATAGAATGAAACTTTATAGAGATAGATAGATAGAGATAGAGATGATAGAGATATAACATGAAGGTCATACATACAGGTCTATATCTCTCTCTCTACAGATACAGATATAAAATGAAGGTTATATAGGTGAACTATTCCTAAAATGCTCTCATTTTATAAACAGGTAACACTGATAGGTATGGAACAATATTAAAAACTAGTTCTGTGAAAGGGAGTTCCAAACTTTGGGAGAAAAAGGAATATAAATAAATTAAGCTTCACACATGTCTGTTCAGTTTCTTCTAATAACGGTGAAAAGGGAGCAGGAAAGGAGGTGAAGATCAGCAGGGAATGTGAGGTGTCTGAGGTAGAGGACTTTCTGTGGTGACAACGTGAAGGGGAGGCACTAGGAGGGAACCCCAATCATCACAGAGTAGAAGAGAAGGTAGACTCAGTAGAGAAGATAAAGATATTTCTGAATAAGGTCGCAGATGGGAAAGAAGCACAGACCAGGGAAGAGAACCAAATACCTCTTTCCTCTGGCTCCCTTAGAGTCCTGTTCTCTGGTCTTCTCTGACCCCTAGACATTAGCTACCTAGACCACAGACATCCCCCCAGCGATGTACCCTATGAACCCTGATGGCAACGCTCCACCCAACTGGTTGGATGCCTGTTTCTGGTCTCCCACAGCCAGCTTTTAGCAGCCTACATTATGACTTAACCTTAAGACAAAATTAATTCACCTAAAGTTGCTACTGGATTAATATTAAGTCACCTTATTGTTTATCAAATTATGATCTTTCATAAATAATAAGACAGTTTAGGAGGCCAGGTCACCTTTACTGGGCCAGGAAGGCAAGGGTTTGGCTCTGGCAACCACGCTGCGATGTGGTTCGAGATCCTGCCCGGGATCGGTGTCATGGCCGTGTGCTTGGTCATCCCCGGCATAGCCGGTGCACATCCACAGGTTCAGTAACAGGGGCAAGGAAAAAAGGGTTGCCTATTATCCATATCAGTGGAGTTTGATGCAAAGAGATAGGCGGGGTCTCTGGAGTTAATCGTTACTATGTGTCAAAGAGTTTGGAGAATATCGATTAAGGAAGCATTTTCCTGATTGATGAAAAATAACTCAGTCTTACTCATCTACCCCTTCTAGAAGGTTATGCAGTGTATTAATGTAGTGCATGATAAAAACAACAAAAAAGTAAAAAAAAAAAAAAAAAAGACAGTTTGGGTTCATTTGGGCATATTTTACTTTCTTTAAAATGTTTTTTTAAGTCAGAATACCAGGTCAGGGTGACTTCAATGCCTTCAGCTATTCCTTTGGTGCTCACCAAAAAACAGCTCTGGATCTTATGTCTCCCTCAATACAATTATCAATTCCAGAGGCACATTTTATTCTGTAAATGAAAAATTACATTAAGTATAAAACCTACCATAATCCAAACACGAATATGCTTGCTTGTAGGATCATTTTCCAGCACATTACAGAGTAGTACCTCAAAGAGGCGTGTGAGCGATACAACCACATTGCTATCGCTTGTAGGAATCAGTTCCTGCAAAGTGAAAAGAGTAAGATACTTTACTTTCATCTTCTTTGGAGAATAAAAAAAGCCAAATGTTTCATTTTTAAAACTCTTCCACCAGTCATAATGGCTAGTATCAAAAGATAAAAAATGACTAGTATGGGTGAGGATGTGGAGAAAAGGGAACCCTTGTGCACTGTTGGTGGGAATACAAACTGGTGCAACCACTCTGGAAAACAGCATGGAGGCTGTTGAAAAATTTAAAAATAGAAGTCCCATGTGATCCAGTAATTCCACCCCTGGGTATTTACCCAGAGAAAATGAAAACACCAATTCAAAAAGATATAAGCACACCTGTATATTGCAGCATTATTCACAATAGGCAAGATATGCAAGCAATCCAAGTGTCCATCGATAGATGAATGAAGAAGTGTGATATATATACAATGGAATGTTACTCATCCATAAAAAAAGAAAGATCTTGCCATTCTCAATAACTTGGATGGACCTACAGGGTATTGTACTAAGTGAAATAAGTCAGACAGAAAATGAAGTTAATGGAATGAATTTGTATTTTGGAACCATCATTCTGGTAGAAGGATGTAGACTGGACCAGAACAGCTCTATTATATTGATTCAGGTAGGAAATTACAAACGTCAGAACTGAGGCTACTATAAGAGGAAGGAGTGGATGGTCAGAGGAACCTGGATGGAGAGGAGAGGAGAGGACAGATAAAAGTTAGCAAGGAAGGAAAAGTCAATAGATCCTGAGGACTAACTAGATGTGAAAAATATGGGAATAAACTATGAGAAGAAAATCCATCACTCATCAGAAAGGTGGAGCCTATTTTCTATTATTTGCAACATATAGTATTAGAGTTTTAAAATTAAAAAATTGAAAAATGACTTTATATTTTCTCTATGAAGACATTGTATAAAATTTTCACAAAGTGGAATTCATTTTTTCTTAGGTGCAGAATATTTTTCCTATCTCTAAAATAATATTTTAGGATGAAAAAAATCTACTGAATACCACTTTTCCCTTCCCAATATCAATATATTTATTTATATGTAAGTCACGTGTGTGTGTGTGTGTATGTGTGTGTGAAGCAGGTTGGCTGGTAGTCCCCAAAAAGAGAGGCCCATGTCATATCCCAGGAACTTATGAATGTGATCCTATTTGGGAAAGGGGTCTTGGAAGATGTAGCTAAGGATCTCAAGATGAGGAGATCATTCTGGAATATCTGACCCTAAATCCTTTTAAGAGTCACTGAAGAGACAGAGTTAGAGGCCCCGTGAGCTCGAAGGAAGAGACTGGAGTTAAGCAGCCAGAAGGCAAGGAATGTCTGGAAGCCAAAGCTGGGAGAGGTAAGGAAAGATTCTCCCTTAGAGCTTCCAGAGGAAGCTTGGCCCTGCCAACATCTTGATTTCAGACTTCTAGCCTCAGGACTGTGGCAGAATAAATTTCTGTTGCTTTAAACCACCAAGTTTGTGGTAATTTGTTATGACAGCCCTAAGACACTAATATAATATATAAAGTTTTCTCATAAAATACTAAATATACATGTAAATTTTAAAAGCCACATATTTAAAATACTTTTAAGATATGGAAAATGATTAGGAATTTTAAAATTTAGTCACCATGGTTTTATCCAAAGAGTTTAACAGGCATACATTTTACCTCTGGGTTTATTCAGGTATAACTTAAGCAATATAAAACCAAAGGTGGATATTACTATAATGGTGGTGGGAAAATCACTTTTAATTCTGCTATAAAAGTTAAAAGATAGGGCGCCTGGGTGGCTCAGTTGGTTAAGCGGCTGCCTTCGGCTCAGGTCATGATCCTGGAGTCCCTGGATCGAGTCCCGCATCGGGCTCCCTG